GAGAGAGAAATTAAGAGATGGGGGAGGGAGGGACCAGGCTCTTTAACAACCATCTCTCATGGGAACTCATAAACTGCCTTCCTGTCAGGGAGGGCCTTAATATATTCAGGAAGAAGTAGCCCCCATAACCCAATCACCTCCCATTAGGTACCACTTTCAAAATTGAAAGTAAAATTTCAACATGAGATTTGGAGGGGTCAAATAACTATATTCAAATTAAAGCATCACTGATACAGCTTTTTCTTGCTGTCTAAAATATGGAAAGATGTTTGAAGACCCATTATCAAAATGATTTTCAAATTTGTTTTTTGCTCAGATCTTCCAAGGCACATAATACCTAATCATAAAAAGTGATGTGATATTTTTAAAATATTCTATAAATAGCCTGTCTTTCTCTCCAATCACCTAGTTAATGTTTCATCTTCCTTCCAAACTGTTCATACATCAATTAAAAGAGAAATACTTCTTCCCTTGTCTTTCTACAGTGTTGATCATTATGTCTTCAATACTATTTTTGGCTGTATTAGTTATCTATTGCTGCATCAAGAATAGCCCAAGATTTAGAAGTTTTAAAGAATAAATGTTTCACAATTTGTGTGGATCACAATTTAGAAGTAGCTTAGCTTAGTAGTTCCAGCTCAGATTCCTTCACAGGTTTCAGACAAAATGTCAGTTTGGACTTCTATCACCTGAAGGTTGAAGTTGGGGTCAGATATTTCACCATATATATATATATATATATATATATATATATATATATATATATATATCACTCACTTAGCCATTGGCAAAATGCTTCAGCTAATCTTTATGTATAATGTTCCCCAAGCCTGTTTTATTGTGCTTGAAAATGGCAGATGGCATCACCTAGTGTAAGATGCAAAAGAGAGGGCAACCAGAAAGCCACAATGTATTTTATGTCATAGTCTCAGAGGTAAAATACCATTACTTCCACCATATTCTGTATGTTAGGTATAAGTCACTTAGTCTACCTTACAGTCAAGGGCACAGGAATAAGATTCCAAATTATGAAGGAAGATTAAATAATTTTAGCATGCTTTAAGAAATAAGGGAACATTAAGAAAATAAAATGTTAAAAAAGGGTGGCAAGATGACTGCATAGGAACAGTTCTATTCCGTAGCTCCCAGTATCAATGAAGAAGGTGGGTGATTTCTGCATTTCCAGCTGAGGTACCTGGCTCACCTGAATGGGACTGGTTAGACAGTTGGTGCAGCCCATGGAGGGTGAGCTGAAGCAAGGTGGGGTGTCATCTCACCCAGGATGTGCAAGAGATCAGGGAACTCCCTCTCCTAGCCAAAAGTATCCTTGAGGGACTGTGCTGTGAGGAACAGTGCATTCCAGCCCAGATACTATTTTTCCCACAGGCTTTACAACCTGCACACCAGGAGATTCCCTCAGGTGCCTGCGTCACCAGGACCCTGGGTTTCAAGCACAAAACTGGACCACAATTTGGGCAGACACTGAGCTAGCTATAGGAGATCCCCGCCTCCAGGGGTGCCTGGAATGCCAGAGAGACAGAACTGTTCACTTCCCTGGAAAGGGGCTGAAACCAGGGAACCAGGTCTTCTAGCTCAGTGGATCTCAATCCCATGGAGCCCAGCAAGCTTGCAAATGATTTCTTAAGATATTTTCCTGAGGTTCAAATTTTCTTTTGAGTAGAAAAGTAAGATCCAGATGCCATTTTCATTGTATATTTTCTCACTTGTTCCGGTTTTTATTTTTTGCAGTTTTTTTGTTTTGTTTTTTTGTTTTTGTTTTTGTTTTGTTTTTTTTTTTTTTTTTTTTTTTTTTTTTTTTAATCTCTGAGGTTATATATGTCTATGCCATGTAAAAGTCTGAAGCCCTTGGTTCCCTTAATGCAAACCAGAATTCCTAAATGAGCAGCACACTATAGTTTGTGATGTTTCATTGTGATACTCTATTAAATATTGGTAGCTCCTTCTCACTAGTCCCTTGCTCCTGAAATTATCTCAGTGAGATTTGAATAGCAATAAGCTGCGTCATTAACCTTAATCATGAAACTTTGTCTACCGCATTTAAAAATAAATGCCTTATATGCCTTATTTTGTGATGGGATATATGAATCATCAGCTTGGGGGGAAATTTCTCTTTAACTCATCGAGTGGTTTTTGTGTTTGGTGTACCTTAACATTGAAATTGATCTTAAAAATCATTCTTTGAGTATCAATAATTAAAAAGCAATCTATATTTGACATATATTAATGATCCATATTATTTGTGTACCAACATACATTTGTGAAAAAGATTGCGACAGCATTCTTGGCTTTGATAAAGCATGTGCTTACTTCCTGTCAAAATAAGAAATTGTGTTTATTTTTAAAGGGTAAATCAGGCTGTGTCTAGAAACAAAAATATAATCTTAAATTCCTCATAAGAGGTTAGCACATCAAAGAATAAGATAAAAAGAAAATATTCTCACTATATTTCTATTTGAATATAAATGTCAATGCCATAAATTTAGTGGTTACTACCCAGAGAGGACTGAGTGATTGTTTCAGAAAGTAACCCGATTTATAATATGTTCCAACTTTGCAATATGTTTTACAGTGATAAGGTATCCAAATTAAATAAACAATGTATTTCCTTAGTCAGTTGTCAACTGTTCTAACAACTGACTAAATATCTAGTTATAATTCTGACTTTTTAACATTTTACATTCATTTTTTTTTCTAATTCTGCCCTTATATCCATGCACATAAATATTAATTTATTTATTCAGTTTGCATTTAGGTTAAAACAGTAGACTTCTAATTATGGTCATGTAAACTTATTCTAACTAGTGTAATTTTAGTTTAGTCATAATAACTTTACATTTCAAAAATAGTTAATTTAAAAGAAATTCTCGTTTTTGGTATCTCTTTACATCTTATTAAAAGTATATGTTATAGTTGATTTGGTCACAAGCTCTTCTAAACAATTAATTTCCAAATGACAATATTTGTATGAGCAATAATAGAGACTTGCAGAACCTAATAATTATTTTCTGAGATTCTGTCTGTATACTTAGATAGGCAATTTTATCACTGGCTAAATTGTTTATTTATTGTGCATGATCTTTCAGGTCTTCACACCCACTTCTGGAGACTGATTGGCTATTTCTAGCACCATAGGTATATCCTGACTTCTTAAACTAAAACGATATGACAAAAAATTGAAGTTATGATGATGTATCTTTAAAAATAGGCAAGGTATAAATATTAAATGAATAAGCCAACTTATAAATTGTCAAAAATGTTTATATGTACACATATAATTTATCAGTGACTTCAGATCATGTCTTAGAACAGTTGGTCTCTCTAGAAAATGTGGAAACAGATATAAGAAAATTGAATAAAACAGAAGATAGGCTGAATGTAACAGGCAAGTCATTTGAAAGAAATGAGAGAAGTCTTACAAGTATTTCAATTGTTATCTGTGGCCAATAGGAGGTCAATCTGTTGCACGTTGACATGCTAATTTTAAATCACTTACACATTTTAGCCCCATTCATTCAGACTTCTGCTCATTAAAGAGCACCTTTCTTCATTATTTTCCCATACATTCCTGGTCTTGCATCTCTGATTATGTATGTAATCTTCTAGTAATGCCACAATTGCTGAGGTGGAGCTTCAGTGAAACATTAAACCATTTTCCTGGTTTCCCTGCTCTCAGTGACTATGTGAATTCACCACACCACCCTTCAGCAGTAGCTAGAATATTAGTGGTATTTTTTCATTGCGTAATCCAGTCAATAGTCAAGAGTACTTGACTTTTTGAAGAATATTGATTCAGTCCTAAGCAGAAATTTGACAGATGGATATGGGATGGACAAAGACCCTTCACAGAGAGTATAGTGTGATCAGTGTACAGAGGCATATATGAGCAGGCTAACTCTTTCAGAATGAGTAGGCCCATCAGCAAAAGAGTCGACTAGAAATGTATGTAAGACTCAGTCAGATTCAGTTTTTCTTTGTCCTAAAGTATACTTTTTTTCATACAGAATTATAATATACATATTACCTCTATTTATAATTTCTTTTATAATGATATATGACATACAAATTGTTTACTTAAAATTTTTATATATTATATATTTTATGATTTTTGGAAAAATACCCCAAATAAATGTTGATTTAATGTTGTATAACCAAACACATATTTCAGATATTATCAATAAGTAGTTCATGATATAATTTACAACTCTGAATATAATAGATTTAGTCTGACAAAAATTTCCCTTTTTGAAAATATCCTCCAAGGTAAAGTGGGAGATTGCATAATACTTGAAGTCATTTTATATTTATGCATGGGTGAGGGAGGGCTTATAAATCAATTAAAGCTGTTTGATTCTATTGTATTCTATAATTTACTATAGTGCTTGCTTTTCCAGGAAAAAGCAATTCATATTAATGGACTAAATAACAGATTTGTTACAGCAATAATTTCTCTTCTATTTGTTCTGTATTGTTATGTAAAATTGTTATATCTTTGGGCAATTAATTTAGCACTTGAGATTTGAATCATTTTCTTATAGAAATATCAATGGCATTTTGATAAAGTAATTATTTACAAGTATTTTTAATTCATTATGATCTAGGCCTTTTGTGTCATTTAAAGGCTTAAAGCATACATTTATGCCCAAGTATCCTAATATTTTCAAATACATGTCTTCTCTTGAGGCTGTGTTTTTTATTGGATACTGTTAACTTTTATGGCAGTATTTATTTTTCTTGAGATTGTATAATATCAGGAAAGAAATTATTAGGTCAAAGAGAAGTGGTTTTTTTGTTTTTTGTTTTTTTAAGTTGGTATCTCTATTGTTTTCACTGTTGGAAAGAGAAAAGGAGAGTTTACTTATCATTCAATTTTGCTCTTTTAAAGTACAAAATTTTGTGAGTTTTAGTACATTCACAGAATTCCACAACCATCACATAATCAGTTTTTGAATATTTTCATCACCCCCAGAAGTCACTCATTTTTACCGAAGAAATTCTCAATTTCCAGTTAACTTCACAAGCAAATACAATATATTTTTTTCTCTCGTATTCTTTATTTTCTCAATTAGCAATAATCACGCCTCAGATAAATCTCATTGGCTACGATACTGCCACTGCGCAAAGCTTATTCTTTATTTTCTCAATTTGGTAGATGACGAAAGTGATAGCAGCAATTTTAATCTCCTATTCTTTGGCATAGTATACCTAAATAGTTTTTAGCAACAACTAAAATCATTTATACTTAATTTCTGATAGCATTAAAAATGACTTGAAAAATATTATAACTTCCCTTGGAAAAGACCTCTAAGTGTCTCTGAAGTGGTGATATAAATATCTAATTAGAAGGATAATTTTATGTAATTAACATTAAAAATTAGGACTTAATAAACGTAATTTGCTGTTACATAGCTTTGTCTATCACTATATAATACTAATTTTTTACTGCAAGAACACCGATGGACAACTGAAATGTACCTGTTATCTGAGAAAGAAAAAATGTGCTGTATTGTTTATCAGGTGAAGGGAAAAAAGAAATTAGGAAAGAACTTCTTTTCAAGCAATAATGATACCATCTTTGTGGTCTATTCCTATCTTCAAGTCTCAAATTTCTTTATTATTATACTATTAAACCACCTACAGGGCAGTGTTCCCTGTGATCCATGAATGCAAGGTTTCTTCCAAATAAGGTTTTCTGCATTGAAAAAGTTTAATATTTTTTCTCTCATCACATTCTCAATGTAGCTGTCTTGAGGGTAAAATTGCTAATGTCACATTAAATAGCTATGCCTTCCAAGAAGAAAGTGGCCACATAATGATAACTTTATTATTGAGGAAATATGAGAAAGGTAGTTTCCAGAGGAGAATTGATATATTTTGTAAATATCGATGATTTGTACTATATGAATAAAGCTCATACCAAAGCAGGTCAGTACTCTGAATCACAACGATCTTGCATAGTTGTGTTTGCAGGGCAGGATTCCCAGCACTGCAATGAGAAGTTCTCCAAAACACACTACACACATGAGGTGTGGATGACTGATAACACATCTCATTAATGACCTAACTCAATTATTACCTGGGTTCTTCTAAAGACTAAATCACTACTTTAAAGTGTATATGGGAATGCAAATCATATCTGTAAGAGACAAATCCTGCATAAGCATTGTTGCAGTAAGGATTGTTTTCTAGATATTTACCCATGAGACTTTATGATGGCATTATAAATGCTTACTTAGTATGCATTATAATGATGTTTCTCAATAGAAGTCTCAGAATTATTTTGATTTAGTATTCTATCTAGGATTACACTCGAAGTATTGCACCAAGCCTATAAAACAGATGCTGACTCCAGGGTACATTTCTTGTAAAGGCAACCAAATGCTGCCCGCAGTATAAGATGCTTCTACCACTGTGGATTGTAGACTGCAAGTAGTGCAAGAAATAACTTGGAAATAGATTTAATAGGTGCTTCTTAATTGTGAGACTTCTGCTGGTCATATAACAGTGTACATTTTGCTTTCAAGGCAGTATTGTCCACAGACAATTATCTATAAGTTCAAGTTTCATAATAAATTAACAATAACAAGATTTACATTTTACTACAACTTTATAATTTTCAAAATGTCTTCTTATATTTTGTTTTCATTACACAATATATAAAATATTATCCCTCACAAAAATGTAAGTGAGAAATGCTCTGTGTTTTTTGCCTTGAAATCTCACTACACTATGTAATAAACTTATTTTCAATTAAGCTTGAAAGAGAAAATATTTTGAAAAAACAATTTTTCAGGATTATAGCTTTTCTCAATTAAAAATATTCAGGCTTTAAGAGGGGTGACAAATTGTTCTGATAAAATCTTATAGTTCTTTTAAATGTGTATTAAAGATAAGCTATACAAAAGGCAATAGACATAAACAAGCACTTCATAGAAGATGAAATTCAAATGGCAAATAAACCTATGAAGATATGCTATACCTTCTTAATAATCAGGTAAATGAAAATTAAGCTACAATGAGATGACATTTTACAACCACTACATAGGCATCAACCAAAGTATAGGCAAAGAGGTGATAAAATAGCATCCTCACGCATAACTAATGGAAGTGCAATTGATATAACCACTTTGGGAAATAATTTGAACTTATTTGATAAAACTAAACATATATGCAAACTATGACCAAGCAATTTTATTCTTAGTTACTTAATGTAGACAAATTGTACATATATATGTGTTATATGTATTATATTTATATATCTATACACACATACACACAGGTATATACATCAGTGGACAGGAAGGGCAGAAGGTTGTTCATAACAACATTATTATAATATAAAAATTGAAAACAATCTGAGGATATAACAGGAAAGTAAACTATATCATAAATATAAAATATAACAAAAATGTAATAAAAATGAATGGAACAAAACTACTCTCACCAACAAAATGAATCTTGAAAATGTGATTGCGAATAAATCAAAATGTTGTATTATTTCTATAACATTCAAAAGCAAGTACAAATAATAGTTTTCATGAAAACATAGATGTATGGAAATATTCTTCCCCCCCAAAAAACAGTGAAATGATAAACATTAAATTCAAAACAGTTTTCACATCTAGAGGAAGTCAGAAGATTGAGTTAGTGAGAATGTGTATGTATATATTTCCTTTTTATGCTTCCTGAATTTTATATACTCTTGAATATATTAATTACCATACAAACATATCTAAAATTATATAAAAATGCTATCTAGAGACATAGAAATCTTAATTTTGTATTTAAAATATCATCAAAAATATATAAATCCATTATTTTTCAATGTGTAACTCTTAAGCCTAATTTTGACTGTTATTTTAAAGTAAAAAATATTATCAGTATATACTTAACATTTATATCAAATATTTTCATATTAAACGTATTGATTTTATTAAAGAAAAACATAATTTGCATTATATCCTCATGTTATATTTGAGAACTATTTGACAAATTGAATTTCTTAATTATTTTTTAAAAATACAATTCTTTGTGACCTTGATAATGTCCACGTCACTTAACTTGAATCAATCAATAGTTTTGGAAAATTCTGTAGTTCACAGTATTCTTTTAAATATAACTGAAAAGTTTATATTCATAAAACCATAGTTTTATATATTTGATAATCTGTAAAACTGTTTAGAGAGATGTGGACATTTTTTTATGAGCTAGCCGTTTTCCAGGAAATATACCTTGATTCCTAATTTGCATTTTGGAACAAATCCTATGTTTTTATTTTGGCTTTCGTACCATCAGTACAGATGTTACTACTACATATTTTTGCCAGTTTATTTAATGATGTGTTAAAAATGAATCTAAACTCTTCAAAATCTCCTTTCTCTTTTTTGTTATATCTTTGTCAAAACTTTCACAAAATATTTCTCATATTTTCTATACAAAATATTACATAAAATAAGCAAAATAGGCTTACAGCATTTTCACTTCATTAGTTTACTTGTAGCCTTTTCACTTATTCCCAGTGTCCACTAAATCACCATGCTGTTAAGTCTATTTTCAATCTGGCTATTTTCTACCTAAGATACGTATTTGTGTCATTAAAAGGATATGAGGTTTTGTCTATTTTATTAACTATTTTTTCTCAAATTATTTAGTAATGAAAAATATTTAACTTATCTATATATTAATATTTTAAATATTAAATCGATATAGTTTTTATAAGTACCTGCACATAAATACAGAACATGCTGGGTCCATAAAACACAGCTTTGAAAAAACCGCCATACAACCTTAAGTAATGGGACAATGTTGATAATTTGCTAGAAAAATAAAAAAGGTAACTTCTAAAACAATATTGTACAGGATTATAACTATTTTTCTTTCACAGTTTCAATATAGCCCTAAGAGTGTTTTGAATAAAATACACAGAAAACATAATGTAAGTCATGATTCTGCCCAAAGGAATTTTCTGTTCAATTTTTACCCACAAAATAATGACCAAGAGTCAATTCACATGTCAGAACTTTAGCAGGACACAGGATGTCTTGTTCCATTATACTATGCTCTGAGAGATAGAGAAGTATCATAGTTATCTACTGCTGCATAACAAATTATGTCAAAAATGAGTACCTTAAAACAACATTTATAATGTCAGTTTTATACTAAGTCATCTCAGTTTTATAGCAAAGGCATAGCTTATCTGGGTCCTTTGCATCAGAGTATCTCACAGGCTGTAACCAAGGTGTACCCTAGGTAGTAGTTACCTGACATTCAACTGGGGAAGAATCACTTCCACACCCACTCTTACTGGTTAAGTTCTGTTCCTCATAAGTTGACTTCATTTCCTGGGTTTTGCTTCCTTGTGTCTTAATCCTTTGTGACTGATATAATGAACTATCATAAACTGGGTGGCTTACAAACAACAGAAATGTTTTTCTCTCAGTTCTGGATTCTGGGAAGTTTATGATCAATGTGCCAGCAGATTCAGTGTCTGGTGAGGGCTCACTCTGATTCATAAGTGACACCTTCTCATTGAGTCCTCAAATGGTAGAAGAGGCAAGGCTGCTCTCTAAAACTTCTTTTGTAAGGGCACTAATCCCATTCAGAGAGGCAGAGCTCTTATGACCTAATCATCTACCAAAGACCCCCATTTTTTAATACAATAGCTTTGGTGTTGAGAATTCAACATGGGTACTGTGAGAGTCACACACATTCAGAACATAGCACTTTGCTTGCTATTGGCTGAAGGTAACCCACAGTTTCTGGCCATGCTTTTCTCTCCTTAGGAAGGTTCATAACATGGCAGCTGGTTGAGTCAGAGCTAGTAAGAGGGCAAGAGAGAGTGTGAGAAAGATGGAAATCCTAGTCTTTAGAACCAAATTTTGGAGCTGACAGTCATTGCTTTTGCCGTATATTACTTTTTAGAAACAAGTGACTAGTTGTAGCCCAAGGGAGTTACAAGGGGAGAGGATTTCACAGTGAATACAAGGAAGTGAATGTTGGGACTAATTTCAAAGACCTTCAAAATAACCAATTTATTTCTGATTTTCCAACTACAACTTGGGTTTCAAGGCATAAATACTAATATCGGAATTTTTGTGAAAATAGAATGATAGGCACATTCTTACAA